GGGGGGGGTGGGGAAATAGGATAGGCAGAAAAGGTAATTTATAGCAGTAAGTGTAAAGTGCAAAAATTTAGTCTAAGTTGTTCTCTTTCAAATGGCATTAAGGAGTAACCAAAGATAACATCATTGCCAGCTGAAGAAGGAACAGTGCCGCAAAAATCAACGTTCTTCCTATTCTTCTCTCAAAGAGTCGTTCGGCCGTGGAACTCTCTGTCAACGTGTGTTGTGCATTCTCCCATTGTGAGCATGTTCAAGAGATGCTTGGATAATCACCTGTTAGCGCAAGCGCAAACTTTCAACCCCTTAACTAACAAACATACGTATAAATACAAAGATACCACTCTTATGAGATCAGGCGGCTTTTCAGCAAAGCTATAAAACAAAGGCCTGCAATTTTGACTATTTAGTAAGTACAAAGTACCGATATGAAGTGTGTTGCTCTTCCAATGGTCGATTAGAAGTCACAATTATTGCTGACTTCCAAGCAACAAGCATCTACTGGTTTAATATTGAACCAGGATGTCGGTAATCAAACAACAACCGCCTACACCAATTTTTTATATCCTTCATTTTATACAGCTTTTAGTGAATGCAAATTTGCTTCTTAGGTACACCTTTAAACCTCTCAATGACGGTTGCCTCAACTGTCTCATGTTCAATAGACTTACAGTGGCCCTAGAGCGCTTTCCATCTACGGTTTCATGCGACGCATGAGGTCACATGACTGCAAGTCTCGACCCACCTTTGGACAGCCAATCATAGGTGCCGCAAACGGCGCTAGTGCTCCATCTTCTCACGGTGGCTAACATGCGCACATACCAAGGCCTACATCACTGGCCAATCATCCACTTGAACGTGACTCAGACAAAGGCCTCATTGGAGGCGCTTGTAATAACCCCGCCCTCTCACACTTTAGATGCCGGCCTTGCGGCCTGACGCACGCACGCATGTCCGAGTGTCAAATTCCCCCAACCTAATCTCTACTTCCGTCTGTACAGAATAAACTATTCCTTCCACCCTGGTCTCCCACTTCTTCTCCTTCCCACAACGAAGCAGGCCTGATGATCACACTGGCTAGAGTTTTATCTATCAAATCAAACCACTGCGATAGAGGTTCCTCTCGGTCACCAGCCAGCTGCCTGAACTTGGGGTAGGCCAATACTATAATCCTACTCCGACTGTGATTGTCGCCAAAACTCACCCGTTTACATGCACTTTATCCACAAGTTCCATTGCAGCCGCAATGTAATGGACTACATCCTTTGCCATTGGGCACTAACTGCTTACGTACACTTTGTTCTCAGACTAAACCTGCGAAACGCCCCGCATGGAGTACGCGGGGGGAGCACTTCAAACTATCAATGTAGGGGGTGATTTTTTCGCAATTTGAGATTCACCTTTCGTTTACCGTCCGTAGTGGAAGCCTGCAAACTGATCGGATTCCTTAGTATGATTTATCTACTTGTATTCCTCTACCGCGGACATTACGTAATCAGAACTATCACAAATTCCATTCTGCACAATTTTCTTCGACATGGGACACAGGTCTGTTCTGGGTTCGAATCCCGCCGAATGCCGCGAGTTTTTTCACAATTGGGTCAAATAAAAAAGTTCTAGTTACCTTTCGGCTAGGATCTACACTGTTAGGAGCGCGCACGTGCGGTTGTCAAGGAGCCGATATATAGCCAATATATAGATCATGCTTTCGGTCTGATATACATACGCGCATGTTTTTATGGCTGTAGCACACTAACCATGCTGCTTTGTGGCTCACAACTGGAAATTTGTGTGAATTCGCCGGCCGAAAATGAGAATCCGTTTCCTATATTTGATCAGAACGGAATATATAAATTTTTGCCCATATAGCAACGGTCGATAAGTATCGGACACTTGTTTACCAGACGTCATTGCTGTCGTCACAGCTATTAACAGAAATATCCAAAGAATACGCTCGGGGAAGAAAAACCAATCACCGAACAGTGCTGCCGACCAATAGAAAACGTTGCATAGACTGTCAGAGGGCCTGCGCAACCCAGATAGGTTGTGCAGTACTTTTTCCTTATCAGCCGTCTCCGGAGTGTGATCTGCACGTACGTTCCTGCTTCCCTCATCCAACGAATTTGCAAGGTAATGGAGACAACAATGGTGGAAGCGAACCACTCCAGTGGACTACCAGCCTTCCAAAAGCGTAGCCTATTCAATTTTTTTGAAATTCTTTTCAACAGGAAATCAGAGGTTGGTTCGATTTCAGTCATTTTCTTTATTCAGCCCTTTGCACTGCAATCAGTTGCACATCAAAAATCCCGACGTGGTAAAAAGGAAGCTTACTCGCATAATTGCACTGGGTAAGAACAACCTTCAGGTAGGAGTGTTTACATATGCACATTTTGCCTCGTAGGTTATATCTGACTTTGACTGGACGTTGTCGAAGTTCTATCACAATGGCGAACGTTACCCCTCCTGTCACGGAATTTTTGAGCAGTCTCCCGATCTGACACCGGAGTCGCAGAAGCAGGTAAATCATACGAGATCGTCTAAGTTGAATCACTTTCAACAGTTACGTATTTTGCGACAGGCCTATCGCCCGGTTGAAATAGATCCGACTGTTCCAGTTTACTTGAAGATTCCACTCATGTGGGAGTGGTGGGGTTTAGCGCACAAAATGATCGCCACGTCCAATATACATAAAGACACACTTAAAGCAACTGTTAACCAATGCAATCTCGCTTTAAGGTATGCTTCCATTTTCCAGTAACTGCATTTCTTTTACCAGTTAAGGCGATTTTTGCATAGACTTCGGTTTATTTTGTCAGCCATTCTAAAGTCTTAACCGTATTGTTCATTTTGGTAATATTTTTAAACATTTTCGCTTGTCGGACGCAGATTGAATTCTTGCAGCTTTACCGCCCCGATCCTTAATACTTCCCTATCCTTCTACGCAAAACTTTCAGGAATCAGCATTTTGTCATAAGTCACTTAAAAGCTACACTCACATACGGAACTTTTCAACTTAAATTTTACCTAAGCATGTAGTTTTACAAGTAATTGTAAGACTGGCTCTACCCCATTTTATCGACAGTTTCGTGCATTGTTAGGCATAATACCTCATTTGCGTCAGGCTTTATCTTTTACCAATCTGCTTGCGGTCTCAATTTCAACGGAATACAGGATATCAGAACCGCCGGCGA